ACTATATTTTTAATAATTCTTAAAAAAAGAATGAATGTACTGTAAAATCAAAAGCATTGAATACAAACATACCTAATTGTATATTTATATCAAATAAAATGAGAAAGGTAAGAAATTGAAGTGAAATGTTTTTATAAATTCTAAGCGAAATAAATGCTTTCAACGAAGAATTAATTTCAGTAGACCAAAAATAAATTTAAAAACATTTTAGTAGCAATTAATAAGAAACACTTTTAAAAGTTTATAAAACACTTTCTTCAACAATATATATCTCAGAATGAGATCGTTTACCTGTGAAATCGCAAGGAGAACTCATGGAGGTTGATTTATAGAAGGTAAAGAAGTGCAAGAGACCTACATATGGATATGAAAAATAGCTCCGACGTTCAAGTTAGTTAGAACGAGAAGATATATTTTCAAGACGAACAATCGAATTCACGTACCTCCACATAGAGTTCTAATCATGTATTTATAGACCTTGATGTGGGGGGTCCACTCAGCGATCACTAAGAATGACCGCTAGATTCTCGACTGAAAAGGAATGATATAATGGAGACTAACCTAATTATTAGAGTTTCAACAACATACTTAGAAAAGGAAGAATTGACTTGTACCTACTAATAAGATTCATAAGAATTAAATACTTTATAATGTGAAAAATACTAAATATATAATTTAATTTCTAATAATAGAGTCATTTTTCATTTCACCCGGAAACTTTTTTTTTAAGTTTAAAATTATCTTTTATTGTATGGATTATTTTTGTAATCAAGATCATAGCTGTCAAATAATATTAAAATTCATTGATGATGATTTAATAACTTAGTTGGAAATACTCTATTTTAATGTGATGAAATAAACATGTCTTCCATGAAATTGAAAATATATCTATTTTATATGAACAACTCTTGCAGTATCTTATCCAAATAATAATAAAAAAATTATTGTTATAGAAAATAAACACATAAAAAAATATAATTTTTTTTAATACAACATGTAGAAGTGGGGATCGAACTCACAACTTTTCGATTGGAGACATATTAATCATAGTTTCGCATAACAACTCTGTTAATATTAATTTTATATAAAATTTTGTTATGGGAGATTGCGCGAGAACAATTTTATAATTTTCTTTTTGTAATTACAAATACTCTCACCTTTCCCACGTGGTTTTATTTTATATGATTAATTTATAAATTACATATCAAAATATTCCTGAAAGATATAACTATAAATCATATCTTATATAAATATTTCCAAATCATTGAATTATTATATAATAATTGACAATGTGATATAGACTCAATGAATTAAGAAAAAAAAAACTCTATAATAATATTTGAGACACACGTTACATTATCGATTATCGTACAAATATATCAAATCAATAAAAAAATATATCGAAATTAAATTTTTTTTAGGACAATATGTGAGGTAGATGATTGAACTCATAACTTCATGATTTGAGRTATATGCCATACCACTGACCTATGCTTACTTTGACATATCGGAATTAAATTTGATTTGCTACTCAATCAATATTTTATGGATTCAACACATTGTTTTAGTTTGTCTATGTGAGACCATTCATTATTTTAAAGATTTTATTCCTTTTATTATCTTTTTGATATATATATTATTATATTAATAGTTTTAAAACTATTTTTCTTCTTAGATCACAACAATTTAACAATTAAAAAATGGACTAAACTTTATAAAATTAATCTGTGTGATTTCAAAAGTTTTACTTTTACTTTAATCTTTACAATTTTAATTAGTTGAAAAGGAAAAAAACTCTTCATTAGCTTTCCCATAAAAACTTAAAACATCATTTCAACTTGAAAGTTGAGCAAAATATTATATCTGAAGGATTTGAGGGAAAAAAAAGAAGAAAAAAAAGTGCCTGTGACTATTATTTTTTATTAGTATCCCTCCCTCTCACATGATTAATGGACAAAAAATTGGGTTCTTTCCCTCTCAAATCAACCAACAAAAATTAGGTTATATATATATATATAAGAATCGGTCTTTCGTGTTTGTTAATCTTTAGTCTGAAGGCTCGAATTTAGGAGATATAAAAAGTTTTTGTAATCAAACTCATCGAGATATTTGAACTCAAGGCTTCATGTGGGTGATACCACAAAACCCATGTCCTTATCAAAATGGAGATGTTCTATCAGGAACAAAATTTTGACCGGACAAATTTGAGAAGATGATTGTGGTATTACGGATAAATGTTGGTGTTGTAGACCTCATACATAAACGCAAATAATATTTTTAGTAAATAGAAAAATTTAAGGAAGGAAATTCTTAAAACAATAAAGACATAATTGAAATCAAAATTTTTGTTGAAGGACATTTTATAATAGAAAAAAAGTCCAAAAAAAAAAAGGAGAATTGACATAAGATAGAAAAAAGTGGTGAAAATAAAAGAGAAAGAACATGTCATTAGTATAACTCAACGATAAAGATGTGTTGCATCAGCCATTTTTCTTAAGTATAATGTAAGGATAAGAGAGATTGAATCTTAATCTTTAAAAAATAAATGAGATGTCTTAACCATTAAGATATGCTCGTGCCAGTGAAATTAATTAGATTATTAACCATTCAACTATTTTTTTAGTACATTAACCAAATTCAACTATTAGACATTGGAAAATACTTTCTAAAATTCACTAACTCGTTCCATAATAATGTAAATAAGTTACTGAGTGAATAGTTTTGCCTCRCATCCTATCAATGTGAATCGAGCATCTTAAAATTTCACTTTTTATAAGAGTCGATAACGTATCTATTTCTTGTTTATTGTTTTTTTTTYCATTTTTAAGAAATGAAAATAAAATTTCATTTGAGACAATTGTTTATTGATTTTTGTTTTTTTATTGAAAAAAGAAATATAAAATTGTTTCTAGTACCCTAAAATTTTAAATTAAAAAATTAAAATTTTATATAAAATTTAATTTGTTAAATTAAATATTAAAAATTTTTATGTTATCTTTATTATTCAATAATGATTAAATAAGGCTTTTTATTTATATTTGTGGAAAAAGTTAGAAGTGGAAAAAGTTAGAAAGAGTAATAAGAAATTTGACTTTTTTTTTGTTGTTTCCAAAATTTATAGACAATTTTGAAAATGTTTTTGAAAAATGAAAATGATAAATAGAAACAATTACCAAATATTTATGGTTCTTTACGCAGAGAATAGAATAATTAGTTAAGGTATATATTTTAGATAAAAAAGGTCGTGAATTTTCTAAATTTATTGTAAAAAAAACACAAAATATTACAAACAAAGCAATAATGTTACACAGAAGTACTTCTATTAAGTATTAATTGAATAATAAAATGCTATTAATGCCAACCTGAATGTAGGGATAATATACCTATTTCCGACTAAAAGATGGTGAATTTGAATCCACCATCACAATATTTTTTAATGATATATATATTTAATATTTTCTATTGTTTTCATACCAAATATTTTATTTTGGTAATGAAATGATAATAAGATTAACTTCTCAAACACATCTTCCCCCTATTTTTGTAACAAAATCATGATAACAAGATTAATTTCTCAAGGACATTTTTTTTTCATCGGAATTTCTCAAATAAATGCCTCCCGTAAGGAAAGCTTCTAATTTCTCAACTAATTTAGCTATACTTCGATCAATAAAGTTCTCTCTTTAATTCAACCATAAATTTATAACACATTAATGATATAAAACAATGTTAAGTAGTTGAATAATAATGTCAACCATAAATTATATTGTTCAAAATATCTATAAAGATAGGTTAAATTACAAGTTTAATTTCTCAACTTTATGACCGTGTCTATTTAATTTTTAAAACTTTTAAGTATTTCAACTAGGTAAAATAAATTTTTTTATTTCAATTTTAACAAATCCTTATTATTAACATTGTAATTTAAATACTCAAATGTTATACATTGATTAGGCTAATAAATAATACTTTAGGAGGATGTAACACAATAAAGCAGGCAATTAATCTAAATAAGGGTAGGTGGGCAAAAAATTCAATTGAGTATGAGACAAATTACAATTTGAATGAAAGATTTTAATATATGTTGAATAATTCGAATGTTTGATTTTTGAATGTGCAATTTCATCTCTACACCCTTAAAAAAAAACCTCTACACCAGCTTTCAAATGATGTTATTTATTATTAACTTTTATATTTTTCAACACGGATTCAAACGTTCAATATTTTAATTATATGCATTAATCAGTTGAGCTACCGTTAAAGTGAGAATAACTTAATAGTAATTGACATATACCTCTATAAAAAAATGACGCACCTATTTTTCTTTTTRTTATTATATGATTCCATAAATTTAATTAAATAACTAAAAAACTAAAATTCAAATAAAAACTAAAAAAATAAAGACATAAAAATATGACCAAAACTAATATTGCAATTTAATAGAGTCTAAATATTATAAAGGAAAAAATTATACTCAAGATACAAAAATCTAAACTTATTTTTAGAAGAATTAAAATACCTATCTTGATCCTTRTACTTTAGTTATATTTTGTGATATGCTATACTTTTAAATTTATAAATTTAATCCTATATTTTTAGTAAATCTTAAGAATAGTCTCTACAGTTTATTGGCCTCTGAAAAATAGAAAAGAGTTAAGTATCGATATATCTTCTATCTAAAACGTTAAAAATATATTGGTATTGTGCCATGAGAATTATTATATTTATTTTTCGAAGATTTATCCAAAGTAATTTAGACAATTAAAATGGTATTTTAACTTTTTCTTATTATTTTCTTTAAAAGTAATTTCCCATTTTCCCTAAGCTCCAAAAGTGCTGTCCCAAGAAATTTGACATTCAATAACATATATAGAAAGGAAAACGAAATGGCAAAGAAAGTAAATAAAAGGAATTGGTAGGGGCAAAAAGGTAAATTGGCTCTTCAATTACAAATATTTGGCAGGAAGCTCATGTAGACTGCATTCTATTTATAAGAACCCGCCCCCATGTGAGCCTCACCATCTTTCTCTGCTACCTTCAAGGATTTCCTCTCTCTCTACTCTCAGTTTTCTCTCTCTATTCTTCAGTTTCTCTGCGGGAAAACCAGCGAAGGAGAGCTTGAAACCATAGTCTGGTTGTTTGCTGCTTTTGGATCGGGTTTAATTTGAATTCAGCCCAACAACAGACTGCGGAAATGGCGAAGAATGCGGGAATTCTCGGTGTTGATATCTACTTCCCTCCTACGTACGTTCAACAGGTGGGGATCTCTCACTTTGAACTGATTTTTGCCCCTTTTTTTGCCTCTACTTTCTGGCTGTTTCTGGATTGTGTTTTTGGTAGTGTTTGTGTTTGAAGAAATTCGTGAAGTGGAGGTGGCTTTTCCTGCTTGTTTTCTTTCATTTTCATCAATTTGTTTTTTTGAATTTCATGTTTCTGGAAGTAATCTCGGAGTTGTTGTGTTTTTTCGCGATTTTGGAGGTGGCTCTGGGTTTTAAGATGTTGGTCAGCGAGATTCTTCGTTTTTAATGTTTCGAAATATTGTGATCGGCGATTGATTTTAAACTCGTGTAAATGTGTTTATTCTCTCGAATATGGTATAAGGGAGAAATGAAATTATGCATTTTCTCGTGTGTGTGAATGCAGGTAATGGCTACATGTTTTGGAGTGATGCCCTTTATTATTGTAGCGAAGGGTTGGGAAAAAGGAATGAAGCACCCTGGCAATTGGGTTGGGTCCACTTCAGCTTTTGAGCTCATTTCTGGGCTGAGGGACCTGACCCAGTTGTTTGGCAGCTTTTGAGCTCATATCTGGCATACATCATGTGCATGCTGTGTTTCTCTAACGGTTCTCTTAGACAATATTTTGTTTGCTGATCTTTTTTCTTTTTCTTTTTGGGGCTTCTTGGATCTGTGTATAGCTAGTTTCAAGGAGAAGTTATTTGAGTTCAATGTCCATGGATGTTATGTCTCCCACCAACAAACCTTCCCTGTAAAAATCTGATAAAATTTTGATATTATTGTTATATGAAAATAAATTGCATCTCTGAGGCTCACTATTTGGTACTTGCACTTACCTGTATGCTTACTACTGAGAATTAATATGCCTTCTGCTGTGGGAACATAGGAAGCATTGGAAGCTCATGATGGTGCTAGTAAGGGGAAATACACTATTGGGCTCGGACAGGATTGCATGGCATTCTGTACTGAGGTTGAAGATGTCATCTCAATGAGGTAGTGACCATATTTCATCCTCTCTTGTTCTCCAGTTTTGCTAAGTTTTTTGTTCAGCTACAATTTACTATGTTTTGTTGGTGGACACAGCCATTAGTTTCAATATCTTCGTTCCATATTCCAAAGAATATTCTTAACATCTTAATTCTTGGATTTTCAGCTTGACAGTTGTCACTTCCCTACTTGAGAAGTATGGAATTGATCCAAAACAAATTGGCCGGCTAGAAGTAGGCAGTGAGACTGTTATAGATAAAAGTAAATCAATTAAGACCTTCCTGATGCAAATATTTGAGGTACAAATTTTTGGTATTTCTCTGATGCATTTTGTTTCTCTCATTTTTTTGTTTTATGAAAAGACCAGGGGCCATGAAAAATTAAGGGTGATCAAAAGTGGGAACTTTATTTGTCTTCTATTTAATTGATGTTAGTAAATACCAAAAAGCATGTCGTTGGGGTATGCTTTAAGCTAGATTTCGTGGAAGTATTTAATTGATTTGACCCAGTTCTTTCTATTTTTGACCACAATAAGGGCTGATCTCACTGATGCAAAGGTGGGATAGGTTTGAGAGCTTTTTAATGAAGTTTGCAGATTGACAATTATTTTAAATAATTGTAATGATTTGCATGAGTTGATCAAATGGAATGTATAGTTCACTAACCTATAAAGTTCATTTGGAGAAGCATGAAACCTAGGGTTACTAAAAAAACTGCATATAATGTTCTATGAAGATTTGCAGAGTATAAGAGTTCTGTTAACAACTATATTTATATTTCCAGATTTTTCTTTTTCGTTTTCAGTAGCTAACATACAGATTGTTGATGGAAAAGCATGAACACATGTTTTATATTAAAGCTCAATTATACTTGCATAAATATCATGCGTATATTTATGTTTAAGGCCATTATTGATGGCTCTCAAGTCTTAACTGAATGGCATTATCTTTTCATACAAGCAGAAACATGGAAATACCGATATTGAAGGTGTTGATTCAACTAACGCGTGCTATGGGGGTACAGCTGCCCTATTAAACTGTGTCAATTGGGTAGAGAGCAACTCTTGGGATGGGCGTTATGGTCTTGTGGTGTGCACCGATAGTGCGGTATGATAATATCTACTATGTTCTGTCTATAATTTTGCAAAATGGAGGACAAAATATCTTTGACTTTGTATCGTTGAGATTTTGTAGAAATATGTTAAACTATTATTTCTTTTGGAACATGTGCTATCAAAATCTGCATTAATGAATGGTCCATTTTGTTAGGTCTATGCTGAAGGGCCAGCTCGTCCAACGGGTGGGGCTGCAGCTATTGCCATGCTAATAGGACCTGATGCTCCTATTGCTTTTGAAAGCAAATTGAGGGGTAGTCATATGTCTCACGTTTATGATTTTTACAAGCCTAACCTAGCCAGTGAATACCCGGTAATCTTTAACAGAAATAAATTGCAGTTATTTCCAACTTTTTGAGTAGTGTATGTGTTATCATGTTTGCTTCGATTTACTCTTTTGTACTAGATTACCTTCTGTTTAACCTGGTTTTAGTAATTTATCTAGTTTCTTGCTACATCTAGTGAGTCAATCTATAATGAAATGCTTGCAGGTGGTTGATGGTAAACTCTCCCAAACTTGTTACCTCATGGCCCTGGATTCTTGCTACAAACAATTATGTCACAAGTAAGTTCATATTTTGAATAAATTAATCTTCCTTTTGCAAACTAGGTATTTTATCTTACCTGTCATTACACGTTTGTTAGGTATGAGAAACTGGAGGGCAAACAATTTTCCCTTTCTGACGCTGACTATTTTGTATTTCATTCTCCCTATAACAAGGTAACATATGTTAGAAATTGTTTATGGCTAGTTTATTACTAATACCTCCGTATACTTGATTGATATCTCCAAGTAAACGAGCTTGGGAAGTGATTACTTAATTAACAAATCAATTTCCCTTGACGTACCGCAGCTTGTACAGAAAAGCTTTGCTCGATTGGTCTTTAACGACTTCAAGAGAAATGCCAGGTTTATCTGCTTCTCCTGCTCAAGAATTATTACTTCTCAAATTCAAAACATGTGGTTGTTTCTAGTGTTTCTAGAGGATGTTTAAACTTTTTCTGCTCTTTACAGCTCAATAGATGAAGTTGCTAAAGAAAAGCTGGCACCATTTTCAACCTTGTCTAATGACGAAAGTTACCAGAGCCGGGATCTCGAAAAGGTCTATACCTTCTGCGACCGACATCCTTTTAACTGGTCATTTAGTCTTCACTTTTTATTAATTAGTATAATGGATTTGCAGATATCTCAACAACTTGCAAAACCTCTTTACGATGCAAAGGTGCAACCCTCTACTTTGATACCGAAGCAAGTCGGTAACATGTACACTGCCTCTCTTTATGCAGCATTCATATCACTTATTCACAACAAGCATAGCTCACTGGTATACATCTTCTCTATTTACCTATTCACATATTTGGCTGCTTTACTTTCGCCTGTCTAAATGGTCTGTTTGTTTACCAGTCAGGAAATAGAGTGATTTTGTTCTCTTATGGAAGTGGGTCAACTGCAACCATGTTCTCATTGAAAATCAATGAAGGTCAACATCCCTTCAGTTTGTCCAACATTTCAGCTGTATTGAATGTGGATAAAAAGTTGAAATCGAGACATGAGGTATTTATTTCTCTCACATTTTCGACATAACTAATTATGTAGAAGTTTAGGCAGTAAATAAACCTCCTGAACAATCTTCTCGAGTGTAATTGATTTAGAACATCATTGGTAAGCCAACGCTGTAATGTCATATTTAGCCATGAAAATTAGTTCCTCTGTCTATCTTTAATTTAGGCCTAGCATGCGCAGTCAAGCATTATACGAGAAAATGATTAGTCTTTGGACAATTCAATTTTCAGAAGAACTTGCACAAAATTCAAACGATGATTTCATTGTCTGAATGGGCATTTGATAAAGACTATATGATATTAAATTGGAATGAATCAGATTTAAGAGCCCTTATCTTTAGCATTTTATGGTTGTGCATCGATTCAAATTAAAATCATAAGACATAGAGAGTCCAGCTTGAATATTATGATGCTTTAGTTATCCATTTATTTGAACACTCAATGGCCATGCAGTTAATTCCCGAGAAATTTGTCGAAATAATGAAGCTGATGGAGCATCGGTACGGGGCTAAGGATTTCGTGACGAGCAAGGACTGCAGCCTCCTACCACCAGGCACCTACTATCTCACCGAAGTCGATTCTTTGTACAGGAGATTCTATGCCAAGAAGGACAGCGAAAGCGCAAGGCTTGAGAACGGTGTGGTTGCTAATGGCCACTGAAATAAAAATGATAATAAACAAGCGTAGCCAGAGCTGTTCTTCATCTAAAAATTGTCAGTATCTACAAGAATTTTCCTTATTTATCATAAGATCTTACAAGCTAAGCTAATAGAAGGCGGTATGTTCGACAGCGAGTAGTTTTCGGTTGTTTTTTTTACCTTTCTTTCTTTCTGTTAGGAAAATTGTCTCAATAATCGGCTTTATTTAGTCACAAGATATTATGTAATGTTGATGATGATAATGTAGACTCTTTCCCTCCATTTTTCACTTTCCTCAGTAATTAATCATGATGAAATTTATTTGTTCATCGTCTTCAAATTCTGTCATGATTTAGCAGAGAACTTTGCAATTATTGGAGAACTGAATCACAAAGGCCTTGCAGAACAGGTACGCAGAGCAATAATGTTGAAAGAAAAAACTCATGATATAGATTTCTCATTTGTTAATACACCAAAACTGAATAGTGTCGGATCTTCTGAGACATGGATGTAAATTGTACTGAATATTTTTGTTTCGTCGTTTAGAAATGTTTTGCCTGTTCTGTGGAAATTTTGGTGAAAAAAAAGGGTTTTTTTTGGGGCAAATCTCTGTCCTCATTCTAGATTCATCTTAGCCATGTGTCTGGTTCATGAGTTAGAATTAAGAAGTTGAATGTGTTTGTTTAAGAAATTGCTTATTAGGTTAAACAAGTGTTAATGAAGTAATTGAATTAAAGAGAAACAGATGCCTAAGGACTCGTAAACTTTTATGTAGAGTAGGGATGACAATGGTGTGGGTGCGAGTGAGGATGCTCTCTCCCATTCTCGGGCTCGTGAAAATTTTTAGTCATCGTCTCCATCTCGTTCTTGGGTTCGAGTGAGGATGCTCTCTCCCATTCTCAGGCTCGTGAAAATTTTTAGTCACTGTCTCCATCTCGTTCTTGGGTCCGAGAGATGTTCTCGAGAAAAATTATCGATTTTATAATTGTTTTTAATTATTTTTAGAATTTAAGTATAAAAAAAGTGTAATAAATATATATTAATCATTTAAAAAATGGAGTTGGGGATGAGGCATGCATTTTCTATTTTTGGGACCTGACTCTGCGGAAATTTTTGTCTTCCCCTAGTGTAGAGATACATGAAAATAGAGATGTAAATAAAATTTAGAGAGAGAAATAAAAATATTTAGATAAGAAAAATAGTGAAAGAAAAGTTAAAAACAAAAAGAGAAAAATTTTGGAGAAAAAAAAAGTCGATAGGAAAAGATATGTTAAAAAAAAAGAAATTATAAAGAAAGAGAAAAATTACAGTGGAAACAAATTTAGAGATGAAAACAAAACTCAAAATATAGTTTTTATAGAAAATAAAAAAATACAAAGATAAATAAAAGTTACCGTGAAAGAAAATTGAACGAGAAAATAAAATATAATTTTTAAATGAAAAAATAGATTATGAAGAGAAAGAAAAGTTATAAAATATGAAAATATTAAATTTTTAGAGACATAAATGAAACTGGTCTGTTGGAGAAAAAAAACAAAAACATAGAAAAATTTGGAGAGARACAAATAACAATAAATATTCAAAATATGAAAATTTTAGAGAGAAAAAAAATAAAGTTTGTAGGGAGAAATTTAGAAATAAAAAATTTTTAGAGTGAAAAAAATTTTTAGAGATAAATATGAGAAAGAAAAAAAAAGTTGAGTATAAGAAGGAAAAAAATAGATTTTTGAAAAACAAAAACCTGTTTCTAACTATTTTTTTTGTCTGTTTTTGAAATTTACATAGAATTTCAAAATGGTTTTTGAAAAACAAAAAACATAAAATTGAGTGGGTTGTTTGAATTGGTTATCAGACAACCCTATTTCGTTTTTGGTTATCAAACGGGCCCTAAATAATTAGGTTGCGGCGCAGCTATTTCGCTCCCTTAATATTCAAACCTTTTGTGTATATTTCTTAATCAATCATCGATACTGTAAGTTAAACACCCATCTTTTGATCAAATTACTCTTAAAAAGAGCAGAGAAAGTAGAGAAGATAATTTTTTTTCTTTGTTTTAGTATAACACGTGAGGTGAAAATATGTCGTATTTTTTGAAAGTATAGTAAAAGAGATATTTATAGCATTTTCAGATCTAATGAATTTATGATACAAGTTTCAACACCTCAATCAACAAAAACAAATAGGTCTTACTCTTAATTTCATAAAGAAAAAGTTGGCAAATTTACTCTCCCATTTAAAAGTTAATTCTGTAGTAATAAAATTATAATTAAAACGTTTATGATAATTAACAGTAAATGTTGAAAAAAAAGAAGAAGTAAAGAGTAATAAAGAGGAACCAACTTGTAAGATTGCACGAAGTTTCGAAATATTTTGTAACATTTAACATTTTATTATGTATTATTTCTGTTGACTATATTAAAAACAAGTAAGAAATTATTAAAAAAAAAAGATATACAATGTTGAATTCAGAATTTATATTTTATGTATACAGATTAAGCTTGCCAACCAATCTGTAATCTGTATATTTTATTATGTGGGCAGATTCAAATTAAAACTTCTAATTATTTTATGTGGGCCTTGAAAATGATGGGCAAAAGTAAATTATATCACGAGAGATTTAAATATAAACAACCTAAACGATTATGAAAAATGAAATTTGAATAATGTATAATTGTTTCAGTTCACCTTGATGATGATAGAAGAAAGGTTGAAAAATAAATTAGCGACATTAATGTAATATCTGCTAATCTAAATGGTAAATATAGTTCAACGGGTTAAAGACATATATCTTCGATGAGTTCAAATTCTCACCCACATATATTGTTGTACAAAAAAAAAATACAAGAGATAAAATAAGATTTGGAGAATGCGCCATTTAGTGATTTCAGAAAGCAACACTAAAGGACGTGCCTGATCAACACATATAAATAAATTGGACATTAGTGTGGTGCTTGTCAAACGCCCTTTAATGTTTAAGTCAATCTAAGCTTGAATTTTAGTGGGGGTGGAGATTTGGACTCACGACTTCTTAATCGGAAATTGGTGCCTTAACTAGTTAAACTATGCTTAGGTTAACATATTTTCATTTCTTTGTATATAATACAAGAAAGAGATTATTGCTAGTTTGTAGACAAGCTTGGCTAGGTTGCAAATGACTTATGGTGTGGTGTGACGCTAGATTGTCATGTTGAGATGTCATATGCGAGATCGACGAGGAACATGATGACRTGTAACTGAACATACATTACTTGCATTGGTCACATCCGATAATTGAGCTCACTTTTGTTGGGTATCACATAGTTGAACTCACCTAGACTAGATAACTTTTTGGTCCAATAATGCTAAACTATCGAGTTGAGTATCAAGTATGCAGGTCAAATGGCATTTTGTCAAAATCTAATCTTAGTTATACTATCATGCCAACAAACTCACAAGGCTAATTAAAATTTCTAAAATTATAGGAACTAAATTGACACTGTGACCAAATCCAAATCATAAGGATCAAACTTATGAATTGTCCTGTGACTATCAAATAAATTCATATGGATGAAAATTAGAATGAAAATTAGATTGGTAACATCAAAATTGACTTTTTGCCAAATTGAGCTATAAAAAACAAATGAGTTGGACCAATGAGAATAAACTAACAATTGACTAAGCTTTCATTTTTTAATTTTATGGATATTTGTTGCTCAAATTGACTAAATTGGCTCATTTAGATCAAATCTCATTGATATTTTTGGGGGAAATTATGATATTTGTCCTTATTTGTACTAAATGGCCAAAACTTTCAGATATCGCAAAAATGACCCTGATTCTGCACGCGCTTTCTCCATTTTACCCTTAGTTGGAACTTTGAAACAAAAACTTACCGAAGTTTCAAAAAGAAAATTTATCATTGATATCTGTGGTTTGTCTTAAAAATTTCAATTAGTCCTCTGTGGTTTGATCCCTATGATTTTACAAGTTTTAATTTGGTCTTTATAGTTTCAATTTAGTCTCAATTTGGTCTTTATTGGTTTGGTTAAATCTCGTAAAGTCATCCATAATTTTTGTTTTACCCACTTGAAAAATCTAACTATTTTATTTTATCTTTTTAGGTAACTAAAAACTGTAATAAAGTTATCTAAGACTCAAATAGAAAATTGTCACATAAATAAAAAAWAAAAGGGAAATTTGTCAACATAGTAATGGTAGAGTCTAACTAACCTATAAAGACCCAATTAAAACTTGTAAAACAATAAAAACTATATACCAAATTGAAACTAAGTCCAAATCATAGGGACTAAATTTAAACTTTTAAAATTGCAAGGACCACTTTGACCAAACCATTGGGACCAAACTTATAATATTTATCCTAATGGAAAGAGAAATAAGGGGTTTTATTTATTTATTTATTTTTAATTTTTAATTTTTAATATTACCTATTATTAAACTTATTCCAAAAATATTTCATCCACATAACTATTTTCAATAATAATRCTTGGAAAATAGGTGGTCGTCCAGACGACGACCTATGAGGTGGCATCTAACGTGGCGCTTAGATTTTTTTTCTTATAAAATAGGTGATCGTCTCTCCAAGAGACAACATATGACTGCAAGTCGTCTCTCGAAGAGACTTATTAAAGCTCTGAAGCTTTGATACGGCAAGTTTTGTACGTGGCACTCCCAAAATTTTCTTAATATTTTATAAAAACAAAAATCAAATCAAATTTAATTAAAAAAAATCTCACAAAATCTTAAAGCAAACCAAAAAAATCTATTTCTAAAAAAACAAACTTTAAATATAATGGTACCTTCCCCATAAATATTAATAAAAAAGCGATGATGTGCAATTGTTATGTGGAAACTTAGAACTAAGTCTAAATGTTATAAGTAGAAAATGAATTTTATTGCAGTTGTCGTTCTATGGATCGAAGTGGCTAAGGAGAGAGCGGTTGGTGAAAGAAATATAAGTTGTGAGTGATTGACAAAACAAGCCTACCTTTGACTAGAATCTAAGTACCACCATCTAATCTACCTTTTTAAAAATTAGATTTAGTTTATTTTAAATGTTAAATAACAATTAGTTAAAATAATTTTTTTATTCGTACGTTTTAAGATTTTTAGATTTAGTTTATTTTAAATGTTAAATAACAATTAGTTAAAATAATTTTTTTATTCGTACGTTTTAAGATTTTGTTAGTTAAATTTAATTTAAAGTTTGGTTTTTTTAATCGATTTTTTTTAATAATATGTTAAGAGTTTTTATTGCTGAATCTAATTTAAAGTATGTTTTTAAAATAATAGATTTTGTTAGATTTTTTAGTTAAATTTAATTTATTTTTGTTTTTAAAAAATATTAAGAAAATCTTGAGAATGACACTAGCTAAAGAGATTTTGAAAATAGGTCGCGTGGCCAAAGAGGTGGTCAGTCTCTTTAAAAAAAGAAAAAAAATTCAAACGTGGGGTGCCACGTTAACAGGTCAACCACCTATAGTTGTCACCTCATAGATCGCCACCTATTTTCCCAACATTATTCTTGGAAATAGTTGGGTGGACGATAATTTCTAGAATAAGTTTAATAATAAACAATATTAAAAAAAAGAATCCGAGAAACAAGACTATCAAATAAATTCATACTAAATCTGATTTCAACATTTTACTAATTTTCGAGGGGTGCAACTGTAACAACAACCCGTATCGTTCAGAGTCTGTACAAGAGCAACAAAACCAGATTGATCATTGAGCTCCTAACCAAAACCATTAGTGAGAGGGAGAAAGAAGATTTCAGACATTGATTCAAATGTTCTCGAAAGAATCATATAATACAGTACACACACTAATCAGCACAGAAAAAGAATTCTCTACAAACAAAAAGGGCACTGAGTGGAATGAATCAAATTGTGAGATTTTCTTGGATGGCAACGAATGTTCCCAATATGTTGCCACCAAGATCAGGGAAGGTTTCTTGACCAGGAAGATGAGTGATCTTACCTGTAGAATCAACTTGGAGTGGATATTTGAGAAGATGACTTCTCATTTCAGTCACTTCCTCAGCTGCAAATTGTCTCCAGTTTCTCTCACCCAATGATCTGATTCTTCTAACACATTCAATACTCTCTGGCCTCTCATAACATTCCTCAATAGTCCCCGTGTGCTCTGCCCATAATGACATTCTGTATCCATAGACCTACAACAAAAGCCCGCGTTAATGATTCTATTTCTCGTTTCCTGTTCTTTGTTTCTCGTTTTGTAGTAATGATTCTTATAATCTTGCATACCTGACCGCGTGGGCTTGACCGTTTGCTTGACGACCATGTATGGCGAGGCTGATATGCCCCCATTGCTATTTCGGTGTCTCTTGTACCTTCAAGCGACCGCTGATTGATATTTGCTGATCCCAATATGACGTACTCGTCGTCTACTATCATTCCTTTTGAATGAACGTAGATCATAAAACGTCGACTCTTGCGAACAAGTGCCTGCATAACCAAATGGTTACATTAAGAGACATAAACTGGACAATTGTAGTGTAAAGCTTTGCTTGGGAGGGTAAGAGCTGAGTACTTGAGGATTCTTCTCTCCGTTCCCGGCTTCAACACCGTCTCTGACATCGAGCACCTCACGATTTCCGAGGCAAAAGAAATTCAGGTAGTCTTGAGGCTCATATATTTTGTGAAGTCCAACCTCCTCTAAAGCCTTGTATATCATTTCATACATCATTTGCATTGTCCTACTCTGAAGAAAACAAAGAAGCACTAGTGAGGAGAAAGAGACTAAAAAATAAAATTATTTATTAACACAATGGGAGTTGTGATTGGTGTAGTTAAATTGTTCATGAAAGAGATTACATAATGAATTGCAAGAGAATAGTTACTTTTAGAACTTCACAAGTCCTAAAAATATGAAGAAAGTAAGATTTTTCTTATTTTCCACACTCACACTTAATCTATAGTGAATTGAATTTAGAATATTTTTTTGTAATTTCTAATTTGTTGTATCTGTAATTGAATTTAGAAATTCTCTCAAGTTGCTAGTTGCAACGGTTGGGTGATTTAGAAGAATGCCTCAAAATCTCTTCTTCAATCCATATTGTTGGAAAGGAACAATATCATTTTTGGTGTCAAGTATAGATTTTTGTTATTATTCGGACTTTTTACAGTATATAGCTTCTAGATGAGGCATTTTCCACCCTCATTTCTTAACGATTCGATTTTCTTGTTAATTTTGATTGCGGGAGCTTTCATTAGTCCTTAATTAGGGGAGATGTCTTATCTCCTCCCTGCATGATTCCTTTTTGTGTTGGTTTTATCAAGAAAAGAAAGAAAACTTAAAATGGTTAACTCACCCATCTTAATGGATTACAGTGAATTTACCTTAACACTCCTCCTCACTTATGGGCTTTGAAAATTTGCACAAGACCCAACAAGGTGGTAATCAAAATGGAGAGGAAATGACATTATAGAGGTTTGAATATTGGATATCTAATACCATGTTAAATCACAAATCAACCAAAAAACTTAAACTTAAGGGTAAGGGCAAATTTAATCTTTTATAGATACCTTAACAAGAATAGAAGAGGAGTTTCCAAACTTTGAAGCATACCTGCCAGTAAAGAATTCTTTGAATAGGAGTGCTTGTAGGAACACCTTCTGGCCACATAGGGATAACCACGTATGCCGAAAACCTTTCTTTAGCTTTGATTTTCTCCACAATTTTAAGGGCAATTTCCATTGGTATTAAGTTATTAGCCCCTGTAAATAAAGATAGAATGATCAAGTAAACTTCTTGTTACTTGGAGGACCCAAAAGAAGTAAATAATAAAAACATACAGCTATCCAATAGAACAGTTAAAATGACCACAAGGCCAATCTATGGTGATTTCATCAAACGTTAATTTAACTCGCTGTTGCTGGATACTCGTGTTAATGTAAATATTACGCATATAATAACTACATATGGACTGTCCCTTGTTCCAGCAGTTTTTGCAGTCTGTAACTAACATCTATCAGACTAGTGATGCACATCATTTCAACTAAATTCTTCATTTCAGAGTAAGGAGTTGCTTGCTTACCCAAGTCTTTGTGAGCACTCCAATTATATGACGAGCCAAGGAAGTATTGGTTTTCGATATAAATGAAGCGTTGAGCAGCACGAATCGCACTAACGTATGCTGAGTGTATACTCATGTCAATCATGACATTTTTTCCACATACTAAGTTCTGTTACACAATGGAAAACAAAAGGTTAGTTCAGAGTTACTGTTGGACAATGTTTCTTTTATTTGTTTGGATAATATTTCAAAGCTCATGAAAGTAATTAAGGCCCCGCTTAATAATCATTTCGCTTTTATCTCTGTTTCTAAAAATTAAGCTTATAACTATTTCTACTTATATATTCCTTTGTCCTGTTATCAAAAACCAAAAGTAGTTTCCAAAAACTTGTTTGTGTTTTAAAAATTTGCCAAAAACTTCAAATGTGTTCAGAAGAAAGGTGAAAAACATTGTAAAGAAATTGTGAAAAATTCTTAGAAACAGAAAACTAAAAACGAAATCGCTACGAAACAAGACATAGAAAATTGTGGTTTTTCTCTTACCCTACTTATAGCATCTTTTGGATTGGTAGGAAATCCTTTCACGGAATTGGAATCAATTGAGCGAAAAACCTGCAGATTAACCATCCAGTGACATTCATTAATACAAAATAGCAATCATAAAAATGGAGGAAGTTTTGAAAATTTTACAATCAATTGCTATTCACTATACCTGGACGTTCCAAGCTTCTGGATCATTACTACACAATCGAGAAACATCAGCAATTCCCAAAATTTCAGGAATTCTTTCAATTTTGAGCAATACATCATCATTTAACTTTTTTAGCTTTTTAAGCCCATGAGGCTCCGAGGCTCTCAACCAGCGCTCCTCAAAATTTGCAAGGACGTCGTATGCCGCTGGCCCGTCGATTTTAGAGTGCAAATCATGCCATGGTTCTCTTGGGCAGCCATCAGTTGGTCCCTGTTTGCACAAAGGTTAAGAGTAGTTCAAAGGAAAGCTTAGATGATCACAATGGAAACATCATCTTCATGGCAACTCAGCTAACCAACCACAAAGCTTAATAAGAGAGAGTTTTAATAATTTATGTTGGAACTCAAAATAAATCCAAAATAAGCATTTTATGAAAAGGGCTCAAAACAATCTATCAGTAAAAACGGCCAACCTGAGCATAGCTCAACTGGTTAAGGCATATATCATCGACCAAAAGGTCGGAGGTTCGAACCCCCACCCGCATATATTGTTGAATTAAAAAAACCTATCATTAGAAGTGACACTTTACAATGCCTTGTCCCCTAATAAAATGTAGCAATTTATTTGAGACCAAAGTAAGTTCTTGGCACAGTTGGACCAAGTATGGACACTTTGGTAGCACCTTAAAAATTATAACTATTAAACACTGAGGTCATTGATGTAAATTGAGAGAGTTTTAAAAATTTATGGCACAGTTGGACTACGTTGGACACTAATCCTTTGCAATGAAAAAACTTTCTAGAACTTAAAATTAGTCACAAACAATTTACATTAATCAACGTCTCCATTGTGTTCTTATCTTTTGGAAAAAAGAATTACACGTTTTTCATTCCATTTTCATGCTTCTCAGCTGATCCCTCTCAGAGAAGGGGAAAAGTTTGCACTTATTTTAGGATATCATACTTATGAACTAAAGCAAGATATAGAGACTGATTTTTGAAGTGTAAACAGTTTGGCATGGCATGACAAAGATATAGGTGCATGTGTTTTGACCATTCATATGGAAATTACCAAAAAAAAAAAAACTAGATAAAATTGGGGGAAAAATATTGATCATCCTCAAATGAAAGCCTACCGTAAAATTAGGATTATGATAGTCATCAATGTGTGTAGTTTGCAATGTCCTGAAAATAGGATGTCTCGAAGTATCGTATCGGCCGAAGCATAAATCAAGACCTCCAACAAAAGCCACAATTTTTCTTTTGTAATTGCCAGCATCAGCATCCACAATAACTGTCTTCTGATGGTGGGTATAGATGGTTCCAGCTTCCTGTTAACAGGAGGAGGAGGAAGAAGGGAATATGGAATCAACACCAAGAAATGAAGCAGAAGATTAAGATTACACAACATGTATAAACACAAACAAGCATGTTGAATTGCATTCAGATGTGTTTTATTTCTTATAGAAAGGAGTGGAGAAAACTGAAAAGAAAAGTTCTAACAACAGAATGGAGAGCATTAAAAACTAAGAGTTTTCTATTCCATAAAAAATGGTAAAAAATGTGGAAAGAAAGGATTGAGTTAAAAACAACACATTATATTATAAAACCTGTACAATGACTAACCTGTTTTTTAATCCAGCTATGACCTTTTCCACCCGATCGCGGACATAAAATCACTTGGACTGAGGAGTTCTTAAAAAACCGACGAGTCTCCTCATCATTCGTATTCATCATACCAACCTGCATATGTCACCAGAAAAAGTAACTAAAGAATGGTATACCATACTCATTGAAGTACTACCAAAATACAAAATTTGTATCGTTAGAATTGATTGATTCAAGATCAGAACTGGTAAACAAACATGCCAAACATGTTTATACAATTTGTCTTCAAAAAAATTATTCAAATAAACAGTGAGTAGTGACTAATCTATGTTGAAAAAATTTAATATTAGCTGTAGCTATGCATCACATTTTCTCCCTTAAGTTGTGTTTTGGGGGGACAAGTAGCCACAAAGTTCTAACAACATAGAGAACAAGAAAGAAACTATATGACGAAAATCACGTCAAATTCAAATAGCAGTGATGTTGGAAAATGCAGAACTTTAAAAGACATCTCTGGTTTAGTATGTCTGCATTCCATATTCAGATGTTGTTTCATTTAATTTTATAAGATATTTTGGTCAAATTGGAGAGCTAACTCATAATAATGGCATCTGACTTGCATGATTAGACATACTTGTGTTCTACTTTAAGAATGTACATTTTGCAGAATGGGAAGAGTTTATGAAATACCTAGATTACTGAATCTAGTATGATCTGCAAAAGGAGTCTTTCACAAAAAAGGCATAAAGAACAGCAGCAAGATATGACAAATCATATGTTTTTCAGTTACATACCGTTTTATATCCCAACATACTCGTTGAAGTTGGATCGTCCCATATGAGGAGCAATACTCTTACTCCTTCTTGTGACTTGGCTTTGAGAAGGTCCCCTAATATGCATTCTGTGTCCTTGCCATCTCTAACAAGTCCAACTTTGTGGTATACGGACCAGCCCGTAATATAGATTAAACGGCGAGCGTTACTAATTGCTTCGGAGATGTCGTGCCAACAGCTCCGATGTTCATATCCAACCCCGCCGTGAAGCCTGAAATCGGTTGGAAGACAGCCATCCTCAACATGGGCATCTTGGTACAATGTAACATTACCCCCTTTCCTAAGGGGAAAATATGTCCCAGACACCCCCTGGTGATCAGGAGACGCATACATTCCACCTTGAAAAATGGCCGCCTGGTCCGCGGGAACATACTGAATTGACAAACTCAAGACTGCCCCAGGCTTGCAAGGCTTCCTACTGCTATTCAAGATTGGGTAAGTTCCCTCAACTTTGGTTCCAGAATACAATTGCTCCACTGGAATTGCAACAACACCCATGATTTGTGATCCCACAACATCATGATCTTTCACAGCAAAGTGCACTTCAGCACCATAATGAGCCACAGGAACATTAAAATGCTGCATCCAAACAGGGTTCTCATTATTATCAATCACAAAAGTTCTTCCAACTACAGCACCTGATACAGAAATCGTCACATAGGGATCACTGGTCACTTTCTCAGACTTTTGCCCTTCACTCTTTTTTGAACCCTTGAAAGATACTCTCGAAAACATATCTCCAAGAGTCTTGTGAAACATATCCAAATTAGGAAGGTTCTTGGCTTCCTTGACCCAAATGTCCAAATAACCATGCAAGAGCAAAAACTTCAATGATGCATTAGCAGATGAAAATGGCAAAGATTGGTTACCCTGACCATGTTGCGACCCACCAAAGGACAAGGTCTCAAAAATACGACCAGCCATAGAACTATGGAAGATCAAGCTCCAATAAACAGATTTCAGAAATTCCAAGCACTTGCTCTAGATCAAATTAGGAATACAGAAGAGTTTGATGCTCTAGAGATAAAGGAAACAAAAATCTACAAATCTGAATCTGGGTTGGTCGAAGAAGATGAATATTATTGATTATCTGCTTCAAAATTGGCAAATAGCTCTGTACATCGGCTGACCCGTTAAATAAACAATAGAGCAAATAGACTTGAAATTTAAACGTGGGCAGTTTGATGGGCAATAACATGATTGGTTGAATCGAACAACTTGCAAAACAATGTAAAATTCGACGAAAGAGAGAGTGGGGATTAAAAAAATGGATTGGAAAGCGTAAAGAAATGGATGAAAGTGAAAGTAATTGAATAAAAGAGTTGACCAAGTATGAAATTGAAGAAGAAAAGTCGTCCACTGAAGATCTGGGAGAAGCCGACGCGTCTGATAATAGAAAATTAATGAGAGGAAATTGAAAAGCCGCTGTTCGGAGAAGACTCCAAAGGCAGCTGAAAAATACAAGCGCTAACACAATAAACGCAAGTTGTTGGAAATTCCGCTGCCCGCCGGCGCCGGCGGGATATTTTGCAGTCAGCAGCCGTCTGTCCTGTCCTTTGACGGCCAAAGTCGTCTCGTTAACGGTTAGGTTAAAAAAATTTCAATTATCAAAAAAAAAAAAAAAAAATTCAAATGTAACATTAAATTATATCGGAAAAATTCAAATTTTAACTACGTAACTTGAATTGATTTTTACCCCAAAATTTTAATTGGTATGAAATTGATAAATGTTTGGAAGCTAAAGAGCTTCTTTCTCTCTTTCTTTCTTCTTCTTTTTTTTAATGCTTTGGATAAATATTATTGTGTTGTTTTTACTTTTGACTTTGATTTATTTTGGTTCTTATATTTTTAAAAATATCTATTTTAGTCCATATATTTTCAATTTTTGTTCATCTTAATCCCTACAATTTCGAAACGTTTATTTTAATCCTTGTACTTTTAAAAAGTGACCATTTTGATCCATTCATTTTTCATTCTGATCTTATTTCTTTCAATCAAAATTTTAACGTGACACTCTATCCATTGAATTTCTTGAAATGTAACAAGAAATTTATATTAAAAGATTTTTATTGGGTATGAAATTTGTATTAAAATTTTGTAAATAGGGACTAATTTGATTATTTTTTAAAAGTACAAGAGACAAACAGATGTTTTGAGAGTACAATGACCAAAATAAACAAAAGTTGAAAGTATGAAGATCAATATGGACAAAAGTTGAAAGTATTAAGACCAATATAGATGTTATGAAAGTACATGAATCAAAGACAAAAGTACGGGGACCAAAATAGTATTTGAACCTTAAAGATGAAAGTTTAGGCTAATTCAAGTATAGTTCGGTGAATAAGTTACATATTACATTCTTTAAGGTCGTGGATACTCAATACTTTTTTAACTAAAAAATTGTTTAGTACGAAAATAATAGTGTATTCGATGCTAGGGCTGGTTGATCTTATATATCGATTTGTTAAGGTTGATCTTATGCATTAATGCGTAGGATTCAATATTGTGCATTAATTTGTTTGGAGGATAGAAAATAGGTAAAATAATCAATACACTTTTATTCATTCAAATCCTCAAATTGGATACAACCCTACCGACCTATTTATAATAGGATAAAGACAACTAAATCAAATATATTTAGATACCTAAATAAAGGAATTGGAAACCTAAATCATATCCTAAATTATATCATACCTAATACAAAAAAAGGAAACCAATACTGAAATAATTAAAATCATATCCAATCATATCACCCTCCTCAAGTGGGAGTATGCAAGTCATAAATGCCCCACTTGCAAAGAAGATGATTAAATCCTTGCAAGTCATAACACGATCACGATGACCATATCCCGAACTTGTTTTTCTGGCACTCCTGACAATTTTTGGGATGTTTCACCCTTCCTCAAGTGAGAGACCAACAACTCATTTTTCTGGCATGAGAGACACCACCAACTCGTTGTTCTGGCACAAGAGACCACCAACTTGTTTTTCTAGCACGAGAGACACCACCAACTAGTTTTTCTGGCATAAGGGACCACAAACTCGATTTTCTGGACGAGGGACCACGAACTTGAATACAAATGGAAATCAACCCGATTAAAGAAAAATCCAACAAGGATTAAGCCAAACAACATCAGCACACAAACCCATCATCGAATCCCAAAAAAACTAGCCACCCCTCCACTGATTAAAGCCAATGAAGGAGTGGCCTACGACAGCAGCAACATGCTTCGATAGACCTCAAACCGACGATGGCGATGCAGCTCTGATACCATGTGAAATTTTAGGAGGAGAGAAAATGGGTAAAATAAATAATACACTTTTTATTCATTCAAATCCTCAAATTGGATACAACCCTATCCTCCGATTCATATCCTAAATTATATCATACCTAATACAAAAATGGAAACCAATACAAAAACAATACAAATCATATCATGCTAAATTTAGGAGGCTTTTGTGGGGGAGAAAAGACAGAGAGAATTACAAAGTAAGGTTTAATATTGAATTATATGTCTAAATCTGATACAAAACATATCATCTTATTTATAATAGAATGATTCCTAATCATAATAGGAATAAAACATCTAAATCAAAATAATATCTAAAATTAAATTCTAAATTCCAAATCATATCGAAATAATATCTAAAATTAAATGATAAATCTCAAATCATATCCAATCGATTCCTAAATCATATCAATCTCATAAAACCCTCCCTCAAGTGGGAGCATGCATGTCATAAATGCCTCACTTACGATCAAATCGATTGCAAGTGACAACACGAGGATTTTGAACTTGGTTTTCTGGCACGAGAGACCACATACTCGATTTTCTGGCACGAGAGACCATATACTCGTTTTTCTTGTATCAATTTTCGTGGCTACTCCCAATGAAGTCTTTGCCAATGAAGTTCTTTCTTTATCTAGCATGATGAATTGACGAGAACAAAACCCAAATCTAACTAAACTTAATTCTGAACTGAACCAAACCGGTAATGAAGATTGAACCGAACCAGCAAAAGAACAGAACTGGAAGAAGCTGGACCAAACAAAAAATTGCACCAAAGTGAAACAAAACAACCCTATAATTTAGGGTAGAAGTGACAGATCTGTAATTAAAATCAACCGTAAATCAAGAAATCTCCATACTTCAGCGAAGAATGGCTCCCATCCATGAACGAACTTCGTGTTGCAGCAGACCATGAACGACGACCACCAACCCTGAATAGAGAATCAAAGCAACGAGTGACCGACAAAGACCGACAGCGCGGGACCGAAGACTAAACGGATGGACGAAGGTGCAATAAGCAGCGGCGCAACGACGGTATAGGAGGTCCGACGACCAATCGGATGGACGTAGCGAAAAAGAACACCAGCAAACCGGTGGTGACTCAGCGAAGAAAAACCCGTCTCAAAATCTCTCATCAAATCAGTAGAGACCTGAAATATTGTAGCAGCACCTTTCTTCCAAGTGGCAATGATATGAATGTTCAACATATTCAAATGAAATACAAGTCAACTCAAGGTTCATTCAAGACAAAAGCATCAACTATGGATTTCAAGTTCATGCTACATTAAATGAGGCTTCATTTAATCCTTTATGGTTACAAAACTCTTGGTTTGCTGATTTAATCTTTAGTTTTCAGATTTATGCTGTATTTTTAAATATTTTAAGTTTTAAGACTTTTCATTTACTTTTTAGGTTACAATTAGTTAATGGTTGTTTATGGCATTGATGGACTTAAGTGTTCCAACCCTTCAAATGCCCATATGTTACTTTAAGCACTGTTTTGAAGGCTATATATAGCCATGTATGTCAGATTTGAGAATATAGAATTGAAGATGTAATGAAATGAGTCTTTGAGCCTTTCTTTTAGCCAAGAGCTAATGTACTTTGCAATCTAATGATAGTTTGCTTGTTCAGGATCATTCAAGTGAGACTTGATCTATCTTGCTTGTGGAGTGATTCGAATCTCAAACAAGGAACAAGTTCTCTTGCCTTGAGATATTTGATCAATAAGGTAATCCGGTTTTTACTTTCATTGGGTTGTTTTCTTAATCGTTTTCGGGTTTTTGGGATTGAGTTCTATGGATCTTGTTTGTTAGCAAGGTTCTTAGATTCAACTCTCAAAGGGTTTCTTAACAGGCAACCACGGACAAAAAATCCTAGAAACCTGGCTTTGATACCATGCTAAATTTAGGAGGCTTTTATAGGAGAGAAAAGACAGAGAGAATTATAAAGTAAAGTTTCATATTGAATTACATGTCTTAATGTGATACAAAACATATCATCTTATTTATAATGGAATGATTCCTAATCACAATATGAATAAAACATCTAAATCAAAATAATATCTAAAATTAAATTCTAAATCCCAAATCATATCGAAATAATATCTAAAATTAAATACAAAATCCTAAATCATATCCGATCGATTCCGAAATCATATCAATATCATAACACTTAGGGCTTGATTTCTTTAAAATGAGTGGAATTTAGAAACTATTTACATTAATCTTGGCTGAAATTAGTATATTATTATCATTTCTACCTCCACTTGATTTTAAGGGTACTTTCTAGAGTTGTGGCGAAACATATGTGACTCATTTGTTATTGGGTAGGGACTTAACTATCCACTTTAATATATATATATACACTCTTAACTACTAAACTATGCTCAGGTTAACATTCATTTGAGATATATGTTTAGATTTTTGTGGTATTTTGTCATGAAGTGGTTGTGGAAGACTGTTTTATTGGATAATGTATTTTGTAGTAGAATCATAGGAACGAAAGGTGATGTTTGATCAAGAAATTGACATACTAATGTTTGTGAATTCGCTAAGCACAAACGTGTACCCTTCCTTAGTAGTAAAAAACGAATATCTGTTCATTTTTCTCTTATTCATACTGATGTTTGTGGTCCCTCCAGTGTGCCAAATATTTCCAAATTTCGCTGGTTTATTGTGTTCATTGATGACTATACTCGAGTCTCATGAGTTTTTCTTTTAAAACAAAAATCTGATGTTCGTTCTTCCATTCAAATATTATTTCATATGATAGAAAACCAATTCGAAATCAAATCCAAACGATTCCGCTCTGACAATACTCGAGATTACTTCAATAAAAAAATTAACATCCTTCTTTCAAAAAAATGGAGTCATTCATGAGTCGTCTTGTGTGGACACTCCTCAACAAAGTGGAGTGGCTGAAAGAAAAATTGGTCACATTCTTTCAGTGACACGTGCCATTCTTTTTCAAAGAAATGTTCCTAAATCCTTCTGGGGGGAAGCTATGCTACAGCCACTTATTTAATTAATCGTTTACCATCTACTACTCTAAACCAGAAAACTCCTATGAATACCCTATCAAAATTTTATCCTTATTTTCGAACGATAAATAACTTGATTCCTCGAGTATTTGGTTGTATAGCCTTTGTTCATGTTCATAGTCATCGGCGAGGTAAACTTGATCCAYGGGCACTCAAGTGTATTT